TGCTGTATAATCTAATCTTTGGTTTACAGAAATGTCAGAGCAGTACTGGGGCGGGGTTATGCAGGACAGGATGCATCCTGATCTTCTCGCCATTTTGGTGGCCATCTTCTTAAGAACATACTCATGGGGAAACTCCTACATTTTAAGACTGCTCTTGTTAAAACAGGTCACTCCATTGCCGTCTAAATCCTTGCGGCTGTGGTTAGTCAGGCACATTTTTTGTGTGTGTGGAAAGGATATTACTCATTTAATAAAGTAGAAGCATTTAACCATCTGAGAGCGTGAAAATAAATTTTGAGTGGTGGAAAGCACCTGCATTCGAAAACAAACCTATATGATGTAATGAACATTGCCACAAGTGCACCCTGTGCAAGTGTTGCGTTGTCTGAAAAACATACGGCACGTTTTACTTCTGAAGCGGACCGTAGCAGCGAGTCTCATATATGGAAATGCTACGATGTTCATATTTTTATAGGCCGTTGCATAATCGAAGAGTCTTGTGGTTAGATGTTCTGGATTAAGCAAGCAGATACAGCTCGAAACTGTCCTCTTTTTCCATTTGATTTTATGAGTCTTCTGATTAATGTAATTGCAGGTTCTCCGAAATATGGTACATTGTGCGGACTTGAGTAATCCCACAAAGTCCCTGGAGCTGTACCGGCAGTGGACGGACAGGATCATGGAGGAGTTCTTCCAGCAGGGAGACAAAGAGCGAGAAAGAGGAATGGAAATCAGTCCAATGTGCGACAAGCACACAGCGTCAGTGGAAAAATCACAGGTAATTGGCCGTGAGCTGCGTTTTTGTACTGCCTGAGCCTGTATTTTTAAAGCAGAGACAAAATTCATCTGCTTTCTCTAGCACAATTGGGCAAACCGCCAGCTATTCAGAGGGTTGGTTCTGATTGACCCTGACATCCAGCTGTGCCTGAAGCTCCTATAGACTGGCGAGGCTGTTCAGAGTCCTTTATGTACCCCTTGGCGTCTCCTCATTTCCACATGCGTGTTCATCTTGCCCTGTTTGTGTCCCAGTTTCCAGAGTGAGTTGGTTTCCTTTTGTTCCCCTGCCTTGAAAAGTGCAATTCTGATCTCCCCTTCCTCCTGCCAGGTCTCTTCTGCCTTCACACCCTCCAGCCTCCTTAATTAGCACCTCCTCAACCCACTGCTCTCTACCCTCTTAGACATTTATAGCCCCATTGTACTGGAGGGTTGGGAGCTTCTCCCAGCTGAGACCCACTTCAGGACACTGGAAAAGTCTGGATGTCAGTCGTTAGTTAGCCTCGTGCAGAGCGGTTTCGCGGTGCATGAGCTGGCCGGTTGAGTTGGAGGTCTGATGGAGCTGCTGTGTGCCGGGTGAAGTCAAAGAAATATTTATTTATGTCAATGCGAACCTTAAAAGGGGCTGGATATGTCTTTTTTTAAGAGAGAGATTAACTGGTTTATCCCTAGTTCTGATTCATAGATTAAACGGTTTCAAGGTCAGATTTTGTTCTGACCTGTGTAGGACAGGCTGTAAAATCAGTCTGTAATGAAGCCGGTAATTTACGTTTGCCTAAACATATTCCGATCTTTATATAATGGTGTCTTGGTTGTTGTTTTTGAATGACTCGAGCAAGTCATCATCGAGGTTTTTCAGCTTGAATAAGTAACAAAATTGATGATAATTATTTCCAAATGTCCTCTTGGGCTAAGCCAAGAGGTTTCAAAATTATTCACTCAACCGCATGGTGATTTTGTTGGAAAAATCTGTCTTATTTGTTAACCTAACAAGAAATGAATCCTTCGGCCAGGCTTGGCCAGAAAATGCCCATGTGCTCCGCATGTGAGCTCCAGTTAATTTTTTGTTTCACATATGCACTTCACAGAGGTTTCAAAATGGCATTTTTGCTATGCAGAAAGAACGGGACTTGCACAAAATGGCCACCACTGAAATCCCAGCTAGTGGCAAGGAGAAGGGGAGGTGGCATGTCCGTTGTGGAGTGAAACCAGGAACTGATTGGAAAATGGCGTGCAAGTATTTCAGAGCTCTAGATGTTACCTCTTTCCTCAAAATATCTTAAGATGAGTGCTCAGCCATCTGGCCAGCTGTTCCACGAGTTGGGGTGTTTGTTTAAAGAAACAATGACTTGCTTACGAAGTGACCCATCTCCAGCCATCGGTGCTGTGTAGCCCTGGAGAGTTTTGGGTGGCGGCGAAGCCATCAGCTATAACCATACAGAAAATTTTTTTCACTTTGAAAATGCTCCGGAACATGTGCCGCAGGAAATTTTCATCACCTTTTTGTTTAAGCTGCCTCAACAGTATGTTACAATTGAATGTTAATGGTTCTATTGACATCCTGTTGTGTCTGAAGGAGGCATGTGTGATTTCCAAAGCAAACATCTGCACGTTGAGTCTGGCCCCTCTGAGAGCCATTTTCCTGCTGCCCAGAAATGTTGTCCAGCGGAGCGAGGAGAAAAGTGACACATTCTGCCAAGATGGAAGAATTTCAATCCTCTTTATGGCCATTCAGTTTTCTCCATCCTGGACGTACGTCCTCTTAGTCAGACAATTGAAAAATGATTTAGCTCGGAGCTTACGCGCCAACCGGCGGAAGAGCTGACGGGCTCGGCGCAGCCCTCACTGTTTCCACCGCTGGCACGTCACTCCATGGGAGTCGGGCAACAGCGGTCTGTCCGCCCGTGTGCGGGGGGAGAGGAGCTTCTTGGGATGAGCTGAGTTGCCTTCTGCACTCTGTCCAAAGCAAAGTGCGAGGAAAGGAGAGCTCTAGGAGGGCCGGCTCCGCAGAGAAACACGATGGCTGCTTTGGCAGAGCAGAGAAGTGCTCAAATGTTTAAAGACACAGGACCATGAAACGGTTCAGAATAGGTACAAACTACACACCGTAGTAAAATACACCTAAAGGTCAGACTTCAGCCCGTAAAAGGAGCAATGTTTGGCATTAGGACGGCTGCTCGCCCTGGGAGCGCTGGCGTTTTCACGGCCACCAGCCACATGCATAGCCTGGGTGACGGCAGCGTTGCCGTAACGCGCCAGCCTTGTCCGCCGTCACCGGGGAATCCTGTCTGAGAGACGGCAAACTCTCGCTGCTCAGGGCAGGGGCAGCGACTGTCTGAAATGCTTCTCTGCGCTAGCAGCTGGCAAGAGGCATCCCTCGGTGGGATGTTCTGTCTCCAAAGTGACGGCTCACCCCGATATCTGCAGGGCTGGGACTAAGCCGCTAGTGAGGAACAGTTGCCAGACTCTTTTCAGTGGTGTCCAGCGACAGGACAAGGGGCAACAGGCACAAACTGAAGCAGAGGAAGCTCCAGCTGAACCCGAGGAAGAACTTCTTACCTCTGAGGGTGACGGAGCCCTGGCCCAGGCTGCCCAGGGAGGCTGTGGAGTCTCCTTCTCTGGAGATATTCCAGCCCCGCCTGGACGCGGTGCTGTGCCCCCTGCTCTGGGTGACCCTGCTTGGGCAGGGGGTTGGGCTGGGTGACCCACAGAGGTCCCTGCCAACCCCGACCATGCTGTGATTCTGTGATATGCCAACAGGGGTGTTTAAAATCATGCATGCAGCCAGGGATGGGATTGGCAGCTCCATCACTGAGTTTCCCAGTGGCTCCTGCTTTTAGTTTCATCCAAGGTTTGATTCTGGGACAAGACATCAACCTAGGACAATGTTGTAGGCGCAGCTTTGGGTGTCAGAGTTTTATGTCTGCGATTGGACCATGCTGGTTTGGGGGCTTGCTTCGGGGTGGGTGTTGTGCTTGTAAAAATCGCATGTTAACAGCGTTTGGACTTTATGTAGACACCCGTCTGCTCGTAGCCGTTCCCTCGCCCTAAGCGTGCATGTTGCTGTGTTTCTCAGGTGGGATTCATTGACTACATCGTCCATCCGCTCTGGGAGACGTGGGCTGACCTGGTGCAGCCCGACGCCCAGGACATCCTGGACACGCTGGAGGACAACAGGAACTGGTACCAGAGCATGATACCTCAGAGCCCGTCTCCTCCGCTGGAGGAGCGGGGCAGGGACTGTCAGAGCCTGATGGAGAAGTTCCAGTTTGAACTGACGCTGGAGGAGGAGGATTCGGATGGACCGGAGAAGGACGGCGAGAGCATCGGCTACTTCAGCAATACAAAGACACTCTGCGTGGCCGACCCAGGGGAGGAGGATTCGCAGAGGGAGGCCAACATAGAAATCGTGACGGAAGATACGTCTCCTGTCGACACATAATGTCCTGGACCTGTGTGAGTGGATTTCAAACGCTTGGTGAGCGTGCCGGCAGTCTCGTGGACTCGCCTGCAGCCTGGGTCTGAGGCCGGTGTCTGACACTGGCTGAAAGATCTTCCCAGCTACTTGAGATTGGAGTCAGGGTTGAAGATCGTGTGGTGGATGATTGCTCAGGAAATTAACAGGTGATTTACGTTGTGGTTTAAGCCTTGTCAGCTGAGAGCGTTCGTGTTGTCCTGGAGCTGGCTTGGGTCGTGACTGAAGAGTAAATGACACACAACTGAGAGATTTTATACTGTTAGTTTTGGAATTTATACCAGTTACACTGATAGAAACTACTGATTAATAACTCTCCATATAAAACCTGTCCACCTGACCACCTGTCTGCAGACCTGTGTGCCTTCTTTGTAAACACTTTCATGTCTTTTCAAGAGTCTATTAATTAAATACACGGAGTTTAGTATAAAAAGCGACACAAAGCGTTCCAAATCTGACAGATACTTTTTGGATTCTTCCTGTTACAAGAAGCAGTCTTCCTTTTTTCATGGGCAATACCTGTCACTTTACTGCAGTTAATCCCTGTTGCAGACTAAACTGAAGGGAAACCCTCTGTTTTGCGTTACTGCACCTTTAATCACCTGCTCAACGCCCCGGGTGACCCGTTCAAAGTCGCTTCACGCCGTCGCGCACCGTCTCCGTTCGCTGGCTAGGAATAACGGTATTTTTTGCTCGGCGGGGTTTCGTTTTGTCGTGCGCAGGACGGAGGGTGGCTTGTCTCCGTGGCGCAGCGCAGTGCCTGTATCAGCAAGCGTGATGAGGCAGCGCGCGACGCGCGTTCCCCGTCGGCGGCTCCTTGGCTCGCTGGAAGTTGCACGCTCGGGTATTTGTGTTTCTCTTGCCGATCGTTCACGTTTCCTAGGTTTAGGTCCACCGTCCTCCTCCTGCACTGCCTTGAGCTCTAACACCTCCATTACTGTTTATAACAGTGTATTTATTACGTAATGTACATACTGTAATGTTTTGTAAGTTATTAATTTATATGAATTAACATTGCCTGTCGGCGGCGATGTTAATTGTGTAGAAAACTCGGGATAAGAGTTGCCTTTTTTTCTCGTAACCTTTTGTATTGCATAAAATACAAGAACCTGAACATAGCTGAAGAGACAGACGCAACCCAGGAAGGGCATTCGGGCGGCAGCTGCCCATGGGGCCGTCTTCCCGGCGAGCTGGGT